TCGGCCATTGAGGTGTATACCCTCAATGGCTGAGAGGTACACCCTCGGCCATCGAGAGTGTATACCCTCAATGGCTGAGAGGTACACCCTTGGCCATCGAGAGTGTACTCTCAGCGGCCGAGGGCCAAGGGAAACTAGCGGCCGAGGTGTTTTCCCTCAGCTGTCGGGAGTGTACTCCCAGCGGCCGGGAAGATTCCTACCGGCCGTTTTGGTGGGTCTTTTGCTTTGTCGACCCCCAAAACCTGGTCGGTTTTGGAGGATCGAATCCTAAACCGACCGGGGGATGTTTTTTTTTTAATATTTTTTTTTTTGGGAGTCAACTCCCAAACCAGTCTAAGGTTTTGGGGGTTCAACTCCCAACATTCAGGGATTCCGGGGCTTGGGAGTCGGCTCTCCACTTTTTGGGAGTTGTTTAACCAAGCCCCCAAATTTTAAGCATTTGGGACGGTGGGTAATCTAAAGTGGGTTGTTCTAATCTGATTGATCCTTATTTGGGGGGACAGAGGGCTCTTTATATACCTGTGGAGGCATCTGGGAGATCAGGGTCAACTTGTGGGCGCTTCATGCATGGAGACTGAAACATGTGACCCTCTCCTTGGAAATGTGCCACAGGTGTTCTGTAGGAGATTGAAGCTGAAGCATGTGGCTATTTCCTTGGAAATGTGCCACACACATGTTATCAATATACAAATGTATTCTTGAAACAACAAATCAGTTTCAAGTCTTAAACCTGTTTATTAGCATATTTAATTATAAACATAAGCATATTTCATTTCCTTCCTGGAGGTACATTCTAATTGTTTAATGTAGATTTACTACATGAAGGAGTTAGAATATAGGTTAACTTTGAGTGAGGTACCCTAGGTTATTTGTAATCTAGATTAATAATCTTGAGAAATAATGCCTTTATTATTTCATCTTCACATTCATTTCCAGTACTATTCATAATAATATGTTTTGTATTTTTCTAAAGTGTTTGTGTACTATGACAGATTGTCTCTGCTATAGTAGCAAGCTGACAAATGGTAAAGTACATTTCCACTAACGTTTGTGTAGCAGCCTTCCAAACAGCATGCCAAGCCTGTTCACTTTTAGTGGCAAAAGGGCCAAAAGACCGCTAAAATGTGCTCTGGCTCAGCTTACTGGACCTTTTTTTGTTGCAGCCTGTGCACGTATGTAGCATGAGAAAAGACATGGCAGAATTCCACCGTACTGGGATGAATGTTAGCCACATTCTGAAATGTTGTGTTGTGCTGATGCTACGGTTAGCATAACTGGCCCATTGTTGTATCAGGGGTGATTTTGATGGGGATCATTGTTGGCTCCTTTTTTTTTGAAAGTTGAGCCAAGAAAAGCAAACAGAAGTTCTACAACGTAGTTCTAACCAACAATATACAGATCATTGACATGGGGTGATTTGAATATTTGAACCGCAGAGGTGTAGAGAGAGACAGAGGAATATGTGTCTGGTGAGATCCAAACTCACAACCTCAGTAATGCCAACAGACATACTGGATTCCTGCCTTTACTAACTAGGATACAGACACTTGTGGCGGCCAGGGTAGTTGGGTCTTACTGGTCTAGGTTCACCTGAACAGCTCCTCCAAACTGTGGTGATACTTCATGTCAGCAGCAGGTTTAACCTTGCCAGCAGAAGTTGGTCCACTTAGATGGGATTGTCAAGGTGGGTTTGCAATTGACCTGGACTTGCAGACTTTTCCGGGTTTGAATTGCCCGTCATGTGGAAGAGTGATGATTTCCAGGGCCAATAAATGATCCCCCCCCTGATGAGGAGTCCTGGTGAGGGTTTCAGAGCAA